AATGTCAATTTCACAGACAGGTAAGTAGGCCGAGGAGGTCCTACAGCGTGGCTGCCACATTCACCTGACCTAAATCCATTGGATTTCTATTTTTGGGGGTCATTAAAAGACCTAGTTTACTCGACTGAAGTAAATACTCAAGAAGATTTACTTCAAAGAATCCATTAGGCTGCAAATGAAATAAAAAGAAAAAGGTTTTCCACTTTTCCGGCTACGCACTAATTAGTTCGTCGAGCGAGACTCTGTATCCAACAAAATGGGAATTTATTTGAACACTTATTGTAAAGCTAGTTTTAAGTATATCTTCTTTTTTAAAGAAATTTCAATTTCGTTCGTAGAAAAAAAATATTTCTTTTGTTTTTGCCTAAATGTTGCAATAGAAATATGTATTTATGTAATATTTACCAATTATTGAATTAGTTTTTTCGTTGCCATGGCTAATTATTCAACAATTCATTAAAATTCGCAGTACATTTCCTATCATGTGACAAATTTTTAAGTTTGATTTTATTCAAAAATGGCACAATTTATCGATATTCAATAAGAGTACCTTTTTTATTTAGAAAACCCTAAATTTTCAAATTATAAAATTGAATTTCAAAAATAGAATCACACAAAAATTTTGGGGCTAAAATAACCTAAGTCCGTCCCTGTTACATAAGCTCCCAAACAAAAAACTGTCTAAAATTGCTAATATTTTTAAATAAAGCATAAAAAACTAGGCTAGAATACCAAATTTTATGTCTTTATCTCAACACGTTTCGGAAATATTAAGGAAAAACCATCTTCAGGGGAGCCCCTTTAAAAGACCGTAGCGCCCTTAGGGGACGTTTGTCGACCTATGTTTATATAAACTTTTCTTCCTATTCTAAGCTCTAGAAACCGCTGGTAGAATATTGCACACTTTTTTTCGGGACACCCTGTATAAGGGGATACTGGTACTCTTACCCCGCCAATAACGGTGGCTACAACTATGGTTCCACTCATTGGAAAATTTCCCCTAACAAGACGGGTCATTGGAACCGGCAGGGGTATCATGTAAAAAACCTATAAGACGTCAAAAAAACCTATAAGATGTCATCTTGCAAACTAGATAGTTTCTAGGGCGCAACCAGTCATTCCACGTTTCCTCACTAGGATCGTTGTGAACGTGCATCTAAGGAGGAATCACTCAACTAAACTACACGCATTATTGGTTGCATATGTTTTGTGACGCCAAATGGTCCTTGTCTGTAGTTTTTATCTCTGAGAAGAAAATTGGTTGAATAGCAAGATCGCATCTGGATGACTATGTGTATTGGTCTGCATGTGTATAAAATCAGTGATATTTGCTGTGTGAGAAAATCATTACTGAATATGCTGCCAATGAAGTATATCTATTGGCTGTGTCCGACGAGTTATTTTTATGTTGTGCTTTCTGAAGAGAGGTTATGTTAAAAGTTATAAATTACGAAAAACTGAGGAGAATTATGGGAAATCATCATCGCGCCCGCGTTGTGTGTAATTACTGTTAGCATGTACATATATGGCATGTAATTCGACAGTGGACAGTGAATATAATTATTTCTTATCTCTCTCATTTTTGAAATTCAGCAAATTTGAATATGTAATTTACAGAATGGATAAGAAAAGTGGATGTGCAGCTAATTTCTAGCTTTGAATCTCAACTAAGTATATTTCAGACAAGAACCCAATGTAATTATCATCAAAAGTTACAGCTTAGACCTCCAATAATACCATCTGAGAAGCAGATTTTGTATCACATCAGAGCCAAAGATTGATAACAAGCCTCATGACGTTTAGGCATCACGTACAACTAAGTGCTAAGTTAATATCTTGTAGAAAAACCTACATAATGTCAAAAAAATATATATACCCGTGCCGCAGGGGTATTATGTAAAAAACCTGAAAAACGTAAAAAAAAAACGTCGAAACGTTATATTTTTATACGCCTTCGGACGGTAATCATCATACACACATTCAAAAGAAAATTGGAGTATCGCTTGCAAAAACTAAGCAACACTTTGTTAATGTATTTAATAACATCGAGATGTGATTTTATTTGTCTTTGGTTTCCAATAAATCTGAATCATTTTTCTAATTTTTATCTAGACCTAGACGACAACATCATGCATCGCATGCCTGACAGTACTTTTTCCAAGAAGTACGATACAGTAAAACCTGTTTCTCCATCCCTCTTGTGGGAAACGTGCTGTTGTCACTACATTTTGTAATTCACCATCATTTGAAAACTTCCGTGTTCCCAAAATTAATGCAATATGTGTGATTTGCGACGTAGCCGACAAATTGACGATATCTTCAGATAAATAATTAATGAGATCTGCTTCGCGACACCTTTTATAGAAGAAAAATTTTCATGTTGAAAATTTGCTCTATAGATTGCGTTTTACGTTATTTAAATATTTTTATTTCATGATTATCATTCGAGGTTATATAAAGGAGTATAAAAGGTTGGTAATTTTTAATTGAAAATAAACCTGAATACCGTTTCTACAGTTTACATGAGAAATTGTGTGGTGGTGCTTAACAAAAAGAATAAAACATACATAAAAAGTGGCGTCCATGAAGTGCAGTCGTTTTTTCAAAAAAATAGAATATCTCAGATTGCAGCAATGAGTGTTACTGTACACGATAGCCCCATTTATTTGGGGCTCCGTGTAAAACTATTTGTCAAAAATGTTTGATACTTCACGAAATCAAGTAACCTCATTAAATTACACTACATGCATAATCCATATAATAATCTCGCTTCCTCCTCGTATGTGCATAATGAATCACTATCCTTCGGATCAACTACCAAAGATACAATATTTACAACCTCGTGGCGCACAGCAAGTGAGACCGAAAGGTACGCGTAATCATTTTTCAAAGTTATAAAGGCAAATATACGGGGAAATATGATATGCAAAATGTCTCTGATAAGTGCGTATAATTACCGGAGCTGGAAGTGTAATTAATATCCTAACAGCAGAAAATTGCAATGGTCCCTTCTCCACTCTCTGCAACCCCCCATCCCCTAATTTTTTACCCCTTAGAATTTTTTTCAAAAATGGTCAGGATCATCAGAAACGTCAAAAAACGAGGTGTGATGCATTTTTATATTTTTCGTTTTTGGCTTTTCTGCCCTTGGCATAGTAGTAACCTTGTGGAAAGATTTCATCCAAATCCGAGTCCTACTTTCCTAGTTATAGAGGGGCCAAGGATTAGCGAACAGACTGACGGAAATGAGTTGGTTGACATGGTTGTTCGTGATGTACATATGTCATATAAGATCGAAAAAACATAATACATCTTATTTTAGAAATTTTCTCGATTACTATACTTCGTCGCCAGTTTGCGTGGGAAGTTAAACAATATACCGTTGCATTGAACCCAGAACACATTGAAATCAAATAGGCACTCTACATCAGGACATTGAAAAATCAGTATTTTTGAAGTTATTTACCACACAGTGTCATCGTTATAGTGCTATTTTTATACTTGGGCTACATCAGTATTCGAAAAAACAGTATTTTTGAAGTTATTCACCTCGTAGTGTCATCCTTACTAGTATACTGTCTTGTGATTTAGAACGCTTTGGACGAAATGCTGTTGAGGCATAGGTTAGGTCAAGGGCCTACACGCAGGAATATTTTGGACAAAATGCGTATTATGGTCCCGACGACCGCGTTTTGTAAGATAAAACTGTATTTTCAATAACAGCTGGAATTGTTTATTTTCATCCACTTTGTAAGTACGTATGATGTATAATTTTTTTGTCCGTGAAACGTTGAACGAATGTGGAATTCGTACATTCAAGAAAAAATCATAAATCGTCAGAATTGTCCAGAAATCAGCCAATATTATTTGATATCCAAGGAACGTAACTCCATGGCAGAAGTATGGTCACATTCCAAGTTTCAAACATTTCGTAACATTTTAATCCCCTTCATCTCCCTTGGTACATACTATGTTTCTGTATCTGTTCATGGTTCTCCATTGTTATTCATGTGAATTTATTGCACCCTTGATATATTTTCGATGGATGGCCGACTTCTACCAAAGAGTCATTCGTTTCGGCTGGTCGGAGTCCAGATCACTGAGGTCTTGATCTGGAACGAACATATCTTGTCAATAGCGGCAGCTGCTGGGAAAAAGCTCGGCCATTCATTTAGGGCTAAGAAGTACATTTCTACATATGACCTCCTTATCCTGTACAAGGCCCAGATAAGACATAGCCTCGAAAATTGCTCACACGTTTGGGATGCTGCCGCCCCGACTGCTTTATTCATGCTCGATGCTGATCAGATGAGGGCTATCTGACTGATCGATGACTCTTCTCTAACGGACAGTATCTGGACCCTTTCGCACCGGCGGGCCGTCGGCGATCTAGCTCTCTTCTACCACTATTTCAACGGACTTTGATCTCTTCTATGATGCCGCGATGTGCCTGCCAGACGTACTCGCCTGATTCCAGCCTCCCATCCTAACCGTGCCGAACTTCGTACATCTAGAACTGGCCGATACCACAGGTCTTCTGTTCCTAGGGTACCGAGATTGTGGAACAATCTACCTGATAAGGCTTTTCCCAGTCTACTAACCTTTAAAGTTTGATTAACAAAATTTCCTTAAGCCCCGGATAGCAGCTGCGGTATTCTAGTATTTAAGCTTCTACCGGCGCGGCTGCTTCGGTACAAAAAATATATTCAAGAGAAATGTTAACATTTTTAAACACATTTACACATTCTTAACATATTAAGGGGATAATTTTTTCCAAGATTTAAAAATACATATTCCCTTCAATTTTAAAACAATATCTGTTCCCACACTCGGTAACAGCCAAAGAATGCAATGAGAAACGTTAAAAAAATATTAATGAGCTGTCCAGCGACTTTAAATGGGCCAAATGTAATATTGTATATTGAACTGACGCTCTAGCTAAAGTCTTAGGCTAATATCCAAGTAATGAGATATTATGTGCAAACATTTATTACAGACATGAAGATACATTTAAAATTGATGTTCTCTACACGGTTATTAAGGTTATTAGATTTGTAACATGTGAGTTTATGACACAGTTTGTTGCACAGAACATTGGCCAGATTGATATAACTGAATGATTTTCTTTTGTTTCAGTTGAGCTTGGGTGTAGAAGATGGCATCTTGCAGGCATACAACCAAGACTTCGAACTCCAGTTCGCACACAAGGTGTCGCAGATGACGCGGTTTTCACAGGCTGACTTAGACGGATGCACATTCCTTTATCTGCTGAAGGATGAGCATGATTACCTTCTGTATTGTTATCTGTTTCAGGCAAAGAAAGTATCCGATGTAAGTGATTTTTTATCAGTAGCACTGGTTCTGCTCATCACAACGTAGCGCTACTGTAGAGATACTTTTTGCTGAACGCACTTGATCACTTTGAGCGCTACTGAAGCGGTCGCCATTTTTTTCATCATAAGCTCTTGATCAAATGCTACATCAAATACTGTTTCATGGTGTTCAATGTTTTGTGTTTCCTATGCCCGGTTTAAAAACAGTGTATGCATATGTCTTGTTAAAATAAAAGCTGATATAGAAAATTATGATTAAAAATTTCTAAATTGATGAACAAACAGGAGAAATGGGAGGAAGGAATGAAACTATTAACTTACGGGTACGCAACATGCTCTATTCAGTCACTTAATTAGCAAAGGTTCATTTCATTCTACAAAAGGCAACATTTCATTGTGCGAGGATTTATTGTAATCTCTAGAGATTTCGAAAATAGATTTGGATGTTATATGATATGTACAGGGTGGCCAACTAAGAATGCGAGACACTGTAGCTGGGAACCTATCCATACGTAGGGGCTTGAAGCAAAAACAGTTATCACTAAAACGGCCAAGAAAAAAACTTGGAAAATATCTTCAAGTCAAATCTTTTGTTAGGTTCAGATATCAGGTATTTTTACCTGATCTTAAGTTCTAGGATAATCTCAACCTTTTTTGTTTTGAAATGTTTGCTGTAGCTCTAAAAATAAAGAGTTGGGGGTATTCAAAGGTTTATGTAAAAAACACCCTGTATCTTTGAAATGGATAAGCCGATTTTTACAAACTTGGGATAGTTGAAAAGAGCTATTCTTTGGCTACAAATGTTATTATATTTGAAGTTTTGTTAGTTTCATATGTGACCGCTGGAAGGCTTTTTTTCGACATCACGACAGAAGTGGTTAATTTTCTCAAAAAAATTAAATGCATTGTATTTTGCTTATGAAAAAAGTAGCTAATGATGTCTAAACAACCTCGTGAAAACCGCATCCCGATATCTTGTTCTTAACCTGAAATTAAGGCCAATGAAAATTTTATACGGAAATCCCTTAAATCTTTATACTTATTTTCTGCAGACCAGTAATGCATATTGTGCAGATTGACTCTCCGGTCACTATTAAAAGTGGCTTCATCGGTCCAAAGAATTTGAAATAAATATTATCTATTTTCGCGTACCATGCCAAACATCCAATGGCAATAGTCCAACCTCCGATCAAAGTCTTCCTTATTCAAGGCCTGATGCAAAACGACATGATATGGGTGCATTCTGCAAGTATATAAAAAAAGATGAATTTAATGAAATCCCTATATTTTGATGGCCATTAGAGCTTACCTATGGTCCTTCAAAGTATTTTGAACCGTTGTTCGTGACCAACTCAAGCGATAATACCTTTGTACTAACATGATGATTCCCTTCAATATATCCCACTACGCGGTTAATATTTTCTTGTGTTCTTCCAACTCTTTGCAGTTGAAACGTAGTAGGCTGAAAACTGCCATTGGCTCGTAAGCTCGCCACTAATCGGGGAAGGACTTTCACACCTCAAAGACGCCGATGTGGTTATCGAGTCGCGTAAACTTTTTTTGCGACTGCGGCATTCTGAATGGATTCATAATTAAACTGCAAGCATATTAGCTTCATCGTGCGCAAAACGCATTTGGTAAGCTCAAAAATTGATCAAAGTAATGCGAAACTATTGACAACTATTGACAATTTGAGGATTATTTATGTTTTGAGTGGTTTTGATTATTATTTGTTTTGTTGTATTCCATGGCCTGCTTCTACTAATTGTTTTTTTCGTATATATCTACCCACAATAAAATGCCTTTTGTTATTAGCCTTACTTACTTACCTTTTAACGATATTTTGTAATATTTTCAAGAAGGGTGAATTTATTCTGATAAATAAAAAAGAATTCCAGAAAATAAAAATGTAAGGGACTTCCGTATAAAACTTTCTTTGGCCTAAATTTTAGGTTAGGAACAAGACATCGAGATACGGTTTTCGCGAGCTTGCTTAGCATCTAGCATCTTTTTCATAAGAAAAATCCTACCAATGCATTTAATTTTTTTAAGAAAATTAACCATTTCTCTCGGAATGCCGAAAAAAGCACTCTAGCGGCCACATGTGGAACTAACAAGTTTTCAAATATAATAACATTTATAGTACAAGAATAGCTCTTTTCAACTAGCTCAAATTTCTTAAAACCGGCTCAGCTGTTTCGAAGATACAGGCTTTTTTATGGCAATATTTGAATACCCCCCCACCACTTTATTTTTAGAGATACAGCAAAAATTGTCAAACAATCCTCGAATTTAAAGATTAGGTATTTTTTGTTAGGTTAATGTAGCGGAATTTACAGAAACATCACTCTTTTAGATTCGACATTGCAGTTACGCCCCCGAGACTTGAACATATTTTCTAGATTTTTCTCTTGGCCGTTTTAGTAGGTAATTTTTTTTCCGGGTAGGTTCCCAGATACCTGGCATTCTTAGTTGGCCATCCTGCACAATCCCAAATTACAATTGCTTAACATTTTTTTCTGAAAATAAAAATGTGCCATGACACGTCATAAAATTTTCAAAAACTACAGAACTTTTTGTTTCTTGGATTAGCAGTAACCTACATCAAAATTTCAGCAAAATCCGAGCGATAATTATAGAGGGGTCAAGGATTAGCGGACAGATAGACAAACAGACCGAAACACAAACAGATCGACTGAAATTAGTGATTTTCCATTATGTAATATCCAAAAAACAATAAGTATTCCATTTTTCGAAGTTTTTCGAGATCACAATATTTCCTCGCCAGGGCATGCGTCAAATGGTGAGAGATTCCTTGTAAATATTACGAAGACTATTAATGACCTTGAGCAACATATTTTTCAAGCTAATGGTGAAATTGGGCTGCGATGGAACTAAAACCTTACTGAAAATTTTAGTTGAAGGACGATCATCTGTAAAAACATTTAGAGAAAATCATTTATTTAACAACTTTACACTTCTACATTCGGATAATACGGGGTGGTCCTTAATGATGCGAATATTTAAGGGTGTGAATCTACATGGAAAATTAATGTTAGTTTGATTTATGGTCCAAAAATGTTTCCTTACAAAAACTCGGGGTGTTTAAGTTTTAGGAAAAAGATGGAAATTAATTAATATTTTCTGAACCGCTTCAGATATTTCACTGATAATTAGTACGTAGTGAAAGTTGATAAAGTTGCATATTTTTCAATGCAAAAATAATTTTTAGCTCTAACAGTGGAGTGCGTACGGGTGTTGACTTCGATATTTTTTAAGAAAAAAATGGTACGCCAATGGTTTTTTGCAAAATAAAAATTATTTTTTAATTCCCCGTTCAATTTAAAACAAATGATCTCTTTTGAAGTGTTTCCCTTGGATGCGTCATTTTTGAGTAAAAAAATAAAAACCGTTCTATTGTCTAACTTGCCTAATTTTATTATTAATCTAATTGGAAAAATTAAACACATTAGGGGTAATGAACAACAACAACTGACAACATAAACATAACATTTAAACCAGCGAAATGATCTAAAAAATTGTTGAAAATGGCCCCCTTCACTTAGTATGCATGCTTCCGCCCTCGTTCTCATGGAATTGCACACTCGTTGAAATATCCCTGGAGTGTTTTTTATTCTATCACAAGCTGCAACTATTCTTTCTCTTAATAACAGTATTAATGGGACTTGTGTACACTAGCGTCTTGAGACAGCGCCACAAAAAGAAATCTAAACCGTTGCGGTCTGGGGACCATGGTGGCCATTCTTGGGACCCACCGCGGCCAATCCAACGATTTGTATAAGCAGTTTGTAAATAATTACGAACCGCTACACTGAAATGCACTGATGCACCAGTATGCATGTACCACATATTATTTCTTATGACTAACGAAACATCATCAAGCAACAAAGGCTGTTGAAGAAAATTGAGGTAAGTCTGTCCGTCAAGTCGTCCCGGCAAGAAGAATGGGCCAATAAAGTGGTTGCCAATAATTCCTGCCCATAGGTTAACCGAAAATTGGTGTTGGAAATGGGTTTCGGTTACGGCATAGGGATTTTCTTCTGCCCACAAATGATTATTGTGGAAATTCGGCATGGCATTTCGAGAAAAATTAGCTTCCTCCGTGAACAGAATCATTGATTCAAATTGTGGATTTTGTGTAATTTTTTTAAGGTACCACTGACAAACGGACACACGCCTTGGAAAATCAATGGGAAGTAATGCCTGTACTGTTAAAATATGGTAAGGATATAACAAAAAATCCACTAAAATTCTCCAAATGATTTGATGGCAAATATTTCTTCCTCGTACTCGTTTCAGGATGTTCTTCGACTTGCAGCACTGCTTCCTCAATTTCAGGTGTTCTCACACTTACAGGTCTACCTTCAGATGTTCCTTTTCGGGAAGAACTAGTTCCATCAAGACGACGATAACTATTAGAACAGGTTCGACTATCTGGCAAAGTACGATCGGGATTTCTCTGGTGATAAATCCGTCTGGCTTGCTCACCATTACGGTCGGCAAGGCCATATACGTAATGCATTTCCGCCATTTCTGCATTTGAATAATTCACCATTATTAACAAGATTGTAAAAACTGAATAATGAAAAAGATGTCACAGCGAACAGATTTGAATAACAGAAACTTGTCAGATGACAAAAGCCAGTGACATATTCCAGAACAACTAGATATTTATTGCTAAATTGCATTATTCAATTATTACATTAATTTTCTCGGACAATAGAACGGTTTTTATTTTTCTACTCAAAAATGGCGCATCGAAGGAAAACAATTCAAGAGAGATCATTTGTTTTAAATTGAACGGGGAATTCAAATTTAATTTTTATTTGGCAAAAACTATTGGCGTACCATTTTTTTCTTAAAAAATATCGTAGTCAATACTCGTACGCACGCCACTGTTAAAGCTAAAAATTATTTTTGCATTGAAAAATATGCAACTTTATCAACTTTCACTACGTACTAAATATCAGTGAAATATCTGATGCGGTTCTGAAAATATTAATTAATTTCCATTTTTTCCTAAAACTTCAACACCCCGAGTTTTTGCGAGGAAACATTTTTGGACCATAGTTTATAAAGCAAACTAACATTAATTTTTCATGTTGATTCACACCCTCAAATATTCGCATTTCATTAAGGAACACCCTGTATAAACAAGTATGATATTTTGCCATAACTGTTGATACTGCTTAAAATCAAAATCTCGAAGAGCCTATTAGAACACATACATTTATACATAAATTCATAAAATGAGTTCAAAATTACAACACATTCTAAAAGAAAGGGAATATTAGTAATGTCTCGGATTCACATAAAACTTGTAATATATGAGTTCTTCAGGTCCCAATGCACAAATCCAGGAAACTTTTTTTGGATCTCATTCCAAAAGATTCCTCTACGTTACTCGAATGTTTAGAGAGAAGCAAATGTGACTTTCAGGACAGTAATAAGCTTTTCTAGAAAATTTCTCTTAACTGTCCATGACTTCTTTTCGTGCGGATCGTCGAATATCGTGAACGGTCCTGATATGATATGAACGATTCCATTGGTACACATATAGTTCGGTTTCAAAACGTGCATCAGCTTGTTTCTCCATATAAGGTAGTACTGTCCATCTTTCTCTCTGACCATAATCCTCAAAACTCCATTTTCTGTTGGCAAATCAACATTTGTGAAGTAATAGTCGACCTTACTCATATCTACCAATTTTTCTATGGTGTAACTTTTCTGAGCAATGACCAAATGCCTTTTGAGTATATCCAAGTCTTTTTCAACTTGTTTTAAGCCTTCTTGCTTCACCATGTTCCAAAATCGATCTGTAGTTACGAAATATGTGAATTGCAAGTCCTCTCTATGTAAAATGTCATTGAATCCTGTGCTTTCACCTAAAGTGTAGATATAATCCAGGTCGGGATCGGAGCTCAGTTTGGTCAGAATGTTGAGGAATGGAAAGGGTCTTACAATAACTGGTCTGGGTAGCTCTGAGTTGTTGAGGTGCGGTACAGCTCTATATGCCCTGAAAAATAGGCAACGCATTACCAATAAATTCTAATTAATATTTAATTTAAAATATTAAATGTAGGACAACAACAGTCTTGTTATTCGCGGGAGTTCTTCAGGGCACATATTGGATCTGACAAAATAAAAGAAATGGATGCTTTTACTCGTGAGTTGTGAGTTCTGTAAAGTAATCGATAATTAATGCTCGAGCTGCAAATAATGACTCAACCATGAAGCACCTAAACAAGAAGTAAATTGTCAAAAAATGTATAATAAAAAGTAAGTACTAATTTCGTAGTAAATACTCATCGTCTAGCAAGGTTGATCAAGCTCAGGCTTTTAGTTAACCGCTTTCATGATTCAATTTTAGGTTTGACAAAACGTTATTGGAAACGAAATTACTGAAATTTTACAGCGCACACTTTATCTTCCATACTGTATGCAAGGGAGGAAATTTTCTAATTTGAGAGATTTTATGTGGTTTTTAGTTGGCGTGAGATAAAAGCAACTTAATCGTAACGAGGTTTTTTACTATATATGGTCAAATGCAGCCACATTTTAAAAAAATGTCTGCATAGCGGCCGAGACAAAAACATAATTCTCAAACTATTTTTCATACTTCTCATGTTTCTTAGTCGCAATCTCTTTTTGCGTACTAAAGCATTTTTGGAAGAATCAATATTTGAGATGAAGCTTTATTTTTTTAATGCTTCTAAATTTGGGAGTATGAATAAAGTAGCTTTGGGATCCGAAAACCTATCAAGTCGTACTTGAGTCATTTTGTGGTTAGGAAATTCTGAAAAGCTTATTTTGCTTGTGACTCGGCTTTATCTGTTATTCGTAAGCAAATGCAATTATTTGATGTTTTTGTTCAATAGAATTTTAGTTTCGGCCGAAACCAAAACTTTCAACTGAGGGGAGGCAAGATACTGGTGTATCTCCAAGAAAACACAAACTCAGACTTTATAAATTAATGTTAGTAATAATAATAGCAGTTCATTATTAAAGAAAAAATAACAAACTATATGTATTATCAGTTTTTATCAAGTATTGTTAAGATTTATGTAAGGAAAAGCAAACCTTAAAACACGAAAGAAATGATGTATTTTGTTTGTAACATTTTGTAAAAAACAGACAATAACACAAAAATAACAACATATGGCCTGCTTCACCAATACTGTTTAACGTTAGTCTAGACGGAAACCTCGTTCATTTTGAAGATTTTTATTGTACAACTACTTAAACCCCGTTTAAAATTTTGTAAACTGAGAAACGATCAATTTTTGCAGTCTAAAAATCGTCTAATTTATTTTTAGTATTTAAAAATGGACACTATTGGTCATGATATTTTAAACGATGATTTGGGTATCCTTAAACTAATAAATAGTGGTTTTCTATAAGAATTATTCAAACACCCAAAACACAAACTATTTCTTGGTGATTAGTAACTATGACATTTTTTAGGAAATTTAGTTTGTACAGTTTTGAATATTCTGGCTGAAATTGAAATTGGGCTTGACCTAGAATTCCCCAATAATTTGTGAGTAATCTACTATCTTGGATTACATTAAAAAAGTCCCCAGATTTCTGTAGTTTTAAAAACTCAAATTTAATGTTGGTGCAATTAATAATAATCATAATTAAACAGTCTAATATTATATCACATGAATAACAATTTTTCAACATTTTCCTCTAGCAACTTTGACTTTTGGTCTAAATAAATTTGCCCGAAGGCGCCCGATAACATACGAACATAGTTTCGGTTGCAGTTTCTGCGGAAACTGGCGGAAACCGAAAGTTCGGTCGGATACTAATTTTAACATTTTTAGACAACGCCCACTATCCATTACTCACCTTTGTGCGTTAACTACATGTACCATAACGTAAATAATTAAAAGAACTGATTCGATTGCACATTGTGATTTCATTTTGCTACATTGAACGCTGAATTTTGTTTAATCAACCACATAATTCGGACAAGGTCGTGGCCAGAGATATACGGTTTCTTTGCAAGATAAAATAGTTTATAAACAAGCTATTAAACCTCATGTGCATTTTACATGTTTTTGCTAGTATCGTATTACCAGGAAACTATAAATAAACACACTTTTGGTAATATTCCTCAAATGTCTTACAAATGCTTAGTCTAAAATAAGAGACACCATAAGAAATGTCGAGAAGGGTTTCGTGTATTTTTGTCTGTACGGATGAAAATTACCACTCGTGGCTTTTTAACCACAACTTTTTCAAAATTGATAGCTGAACAAGCATATTTAAGGGAATGGATTCTTAGTTCAGATTATCTAACTATGTAGTTTATAAAACCTTTTTTCAGTATTTCTGATATTAATCAATCCCTATCTAATGCTATGTAAAACATACATCCATAATTCCATCGTTTATTTTGTTGAGAAATAAACAAGATATTTGTACTGAATAAAAGGGGTTAATGTAGATGACATATGGCATTTTCATTTTTCAACAGAGGCATGTAAATTGCATTCAAAATAAAATGTAATGTAAATCTATTCTGCATGAAAACATTAACCTCGCAACATTTACAAATTCATGACCATGTGTGTTTTCAAAATACGACGCCATATAACAAGTTCTACTTCATACCAAATACAAATGTTGTAAATTTCAACAATAAACACTTTGATTAGATGCTACGTCACCGGAGGTAAACATAAGGCTGATATATTCATGGACATACGCTGAACATTTTGAAAAGGTAAAATCAGGTTAACTCAACAGCAGCTTACTGATTACAGCTACTTGAGAATTTTCAGAACCTTACAAAAAACAAAAAAATCTCCTAGGATATCAAATATTTTCAAAGCTTACCTCAACAGGAAACTCTAAAGAGAATTTTATATGTGTGTATGTATATGTGATCAGAAAGTGCATAGTCACCCAACATTTAATTTTTTACGTACAGGGGGCAAGACTGTTTATCTGAAAACTTCTGCAAGTACCGTAAATATTAGGCGACAGTTCACTCACAAAAAAATGTCGAAGCTGTACAACTGCGGTGCGTTGATTTCTTGGAAAAGCAAATCAATTTTGAGATTAACGAAACCTCTCAAAAACGCAAATATAATCTTGATATCACTACCAATAGGTGAGATAATCCAGAGCAAATCACCTCACCGAGTACCCGGCCTAGTACTGCCTTTTGGAAAAAGTAGCACTCAGGGTGTCTCTAATGTTAATTGATGCAAGAAGCGTGTGACACTTCTATGCTATTATTACACTTTGCATGCTCCTCCACTCCACCCGCGCACGGCTTGCATTAAATTGAAAATAGATCGTTTTTATGATTCACCTACATCCAATACGATTTATGGAAATATTTTTTTAAAAAATAACTTGTATGTTCAAATGCTTCAAATACAAGATAAGGTTGAAGTTAAGAGCCATATACTCGTATATATTGTTGACACTAAAATTGGTACCCGAAACAAAACTTTTTTCGAAAATCGACGAAATGAAATTTACATCTGGAAACAACCTGCATAGGCATACATTTTAGTTCATTTAGTTCATTCCTCTACTCTATACATTTTTTTCAGCCATGCTTACATGAACTAACAATCCATATTTGTAGGTACGCACATGGTTACCTGTCCCAGCATAACGATATAACAATTTTCACTTAGGTCCCAATGCACGTGTCGCTAAGCTTATATTTTAGAATCAATATGCTTTGCCAAAAAGATATTCCATCACTCTATTTACATACATAGGCTAAAATTAAGTTTGAACATTTCGACAGTTCAAAGCGCCAAAGTAGTTGGAATATGAGTGCAAGTAGTGCTCTGTGATTGATCATGTGGAAGTGTTTACATCAAAAGTGTGCTTTTATCACAAAGTGAAACGGAAATAACACGTGCCGGTGATGGAAGTGCATTAATTGATAGCAATCAATAGGAATTGCCTTAATTTTTCATCGCAATTGGTTTGTTGATATTAGTTATAAATCAAGTGATAAAAATAGACCTGCTGCTACACTGCTTTACTGTAGGTGAGTGTGAGTTCATTCCTGTATACTTTTATTTAATCTTTTTCTTGCATGAAGGCGTATAAAGAGTAAATTTCTAGAGTAATCGGTCGAAAGTTCCTTAATTATAAAATATATCTAAGAAGCTGATTTGCAAAAATTATAGGGTAACTATACGCTCCACACTTGGAAAATATGTTGCTCTCTATAGGGTGGTCCATCGCTACGTAGCAACACAAACATCCATTTTTCAAATGGGGGTCAAGTGGCATTATGCTAAACTTTGCCCTCTAAATAACGACGATTTATTATTATTATTATTATTAGATAGACTGCCCTGTATATTTACTATATTCTTTTAGGCCTCTTAAAAGTAAGAAGTTTCTATAGCTCGCTACTTCTGGAGCTACCGGAGATTTTGAGAAAAAGTCTCACAGCTTTTAATTAAGTCACCTTTGCAGATATAGTAGCAAACTTTTCATCAAAATGAGCTTAATGCCCCATAGCTGCCCATCGTTTGATGGTCTTTATGTATGGGGTGTTTCAAATAATGTACTTTTTCCTCAAGAAAATGAAGCCCGTATATTTTTAAGGCTTTGGATTATTCTTTTCGTGATCTTTATTTTGGTATTTCATTATTGGGGGCTAGTTTAATAAATTTTTAGTTATTTCCAATTTCCCAGAATTACAATTCAGAATAAATAAATATATGCTTCATGGAAAGGAAAGACTTTTGGTACACGTCTTCATTGAAATTTAATAAATTATGTGGTGTTTATATATTTTGAACTGTATTTTCTGTGAAACAATAGCTCAAAACATAACTACCTGCTATATGCAGGAACCGTAATTTTACAGGGACGGAAAAAACCTTATCAATTTTATACTACCGGCCTTAAGACTCTACAACTTTGGTCACAAAAAATAAATGATCTAAATGAAGCTCTTATTGACAAAATTAGTGCAGATAGCTGATATTTCTGATAACTTTCTTTGCAGTTAGCAGATATTGTACTATGATGCACAGATGGATTTAGTGAGATTCGTGTTAGAAAAACTGTTATTCATTATGTCAAATTAAAGGTTTAATGCTTTTACAAATCAAAAAGATAATAGCATTTATTCTCAGTTACACCTTAAATGAACGTTCAGGTTCTTTCCTTGACATATGGCAAATTGTCGTAAAACATGTGACAGTCCTTAGATATAACACTTATAATCTGAAATGACGGGTAGCTGTTTTGGTCTGATAGGCAACTCCTGAGGCTCTACACTGTCTAGTCTAGTTTCACTTCAATTTTTACATCGGGATTATAATATATAGTACTTTGATGTCCGTGACTACATTGTCCCTGTCTGGTCCAATTGTTGAGTTTTGCTGCACCTCTGTTCTAGAGTAGTCCTTGAAGAAGTCGTAACTCAATTGGATCACCTTATATGGCTGTGGTTTTGTCCTAGCTTCTTTTGACGCCTTAACATAGTCATTTGGTAATTCAATAACTCTATTTCTCAGTTTTCTTTAAATGCAACTGTGTACAGAGTCCCATTCCAATTTGGGTGTTTCCTTTGGTGAGATATTTCTGAGAAATCACAACGTCGTGTTTCATTGCAAAGTTAAGAAAAATATTACGCGTAATTGGCAGATAGCTGGAATTGCCGCTCATTGACAGACGTGTTGCCAGTAGTAGGTATTGTTTTGGCTGAATAATTCAAAAACTAAATTTTTCTGCAGTTAGCGGACTCTATCACAAAGTGCGCTGTAGGCAGACGAAGAAAAATGTGCATATACCTCGAGTTGGGCAAAATGTCAGATAGCAGGTATTGTCAGATGTCCGACGATATATTGAATTTTTTAAAACAGTTTGACAAATAGTTACTACTCTATCTGCAAAAATGACACAGCTGTCACAGTTAAGTGTTTTTTGGACAAAATGTCCTGTAGCTCCAGGATTGGCTATCCAAACCCAATAGATTGTATATCCAGCTCCTTACTTTGAAGATACCTTTTGGGAAATAATAAAATATACAGGGCATTCCATTAGAAAAAATGTTTGTGTTGTCACGTAGTTATGAATCATCCTGTAGAGAGTGACATATTTTCCAAATACTATACCATTTTACTAAATAACTTTTTTTGATATCTTTTATAATAATGGGGAAACCGCTGTCAAAATGAAAGCTTAAAAGCGTTATACAAGTATGTCTGCTAACATTCTATATTTGATTACTCAAGTATTAGACAACTGAATTTCGTATACAAAACATACACACTAAGTTAAATTTCCAAAAATGGTTGAATAACGTCAAAAACCTCAAAATGGCGAAGATTGGGCTGTTAAAAAACAATCATGTACTAAAATAAAGAGCAAAATGGTGAACAGAGTTTAAAATTAAATAGGTGAATGCAAAACTTTCATTCATGCGATCAAATCCAAATTTGAGTTATTTGCAGGACCGATCCATTTTGTGTGTAATTGTGTGCGTATAAGAAATTTGTACGTTGAGAGGGCATTTAAATCATCTGTATTTCATTCTAAATAATCAGCTAATAGGATTTGACTTTTATACAGGATACCGATAGAACGTGACGTTAATTTCATGCCAAATTTTATACGTCAGAGAATATTATATAATATTTACTCTCATCTGACGGAAGCCTAAACAAAGTCTAGGGAGTCAGTGCTCCTTACGCTGCGGAGGAAAACTTTCGCTGGGACAATATTTGTTATTTAAACTGAAAACCGCTCTGATTGTGATATTTTTAAGTTGTACCCTAGTAAAGTGTAGTAAAATCTTGCCACTGTCTCATTGAGCCCACAACCCTAATAAATATCAAAGACACTTCCGAACTATCATCAGAACATAGTAAGTCACAGGTTAGGTTATCGTTCACAGAAAAAGGTGAAAAAACTCAGAATATAGTTGTTATAGGCGAAATGTTAATATTCCGTCGATATAAAGTTTTGGAAAATACCTCATAGCTTGATAAATATTAGAGTACGTTTATACAAATTAAGTATATCTCAGTCAACACCAGAAGAAAAAATATACAACTTTTTATTGGCTTCCCCACATCGCGGGAGAATATTTCCTATGATTTTTACTTTCCATTGAAAAAAAATAGAGCATTAAAACCATATTTAGTAATGATTATTTCTGATAATAATATGTTCGGATGAGAAGTGCAATCCTATTCCTAACAAGATGAGCTACAATTCAAATAAAATCTCACATCTGGGATATCCAGCAATTTTGAATGACGGCCAACTAAAATGTATATTTACCTATACATAGGTATAAAGTCCGGATTCAAGTAATAAAATTGAAACATGTTAGGATTTTTAATGGTACATGCATAAACAAAACATTTATAAATTATCCGCGTGTATCGTAATGAGAAATACCATTGAGTTTTGATTAACTGCAAACACCAAAAAAACGTTTTTTTATTTTTTTTTTCAACTTGACCTGTTGGTAAAAATCTTGAAACTGATTTTGAACCAGTAAGAAAAAAACAATTGAGCTGAAATTTTATTTACATGGCGGTTTATCATTTCCGTAGTAATCCCTATGTTGTTCATAGTCACCATTAAGATATGAGTACCTTCTAGTCGTCATTGTCTGTCAAGGCGGTCCATAGGACCTTTGTCTTTCTGTCAAATAAGTATCATATGAAAGGTCTGGATAAGAGGAACATATCATGCAAGTCCAATATAGCACCCGCCGAAGAATGACGTTTTATAATTTCCATTGTCATTCCTATGAATGAAAAGGCTTGCTGAGCGAAGCACAATAAATAAACCGACGCCGTTCTAAATCCAATGAGGCGGATGATTGAAAATATGTACTGTTCTTCATCTTAAATTTTCAAAAAAAGTGTAACATTAAAAAAAACGCGAGGGGAAAAGAGCGTAACACGCTTTTATTTGAAAACCTAAGACGAAAGAGTTTTATTATCATATAAAGATGAAGGATTATAAAACGGCATATTTCCAATATGAAAAAATATGGTCAAGTTTTCAGTTTTTTTATAAACAGCTAAATAAAAGCTTGTTTTTAAAGTTTTTCCTTTTATCCATTACTTTTACACATTTAATCACGTACCTCGTGAATGGAAATGGAAATTCAGAAGTTTATATGTATACCTGTACAACTTTTGGCATTTTAATAAGATGTTTTAGTACAAAGTTCTTCTGTGGTACAATGATATTCCAAAACCTTAAAAGTAGATAATCATTGGATGATGCCTGAGCATAGAAGAAGGGTAAAATATACAAAAGTGTGTCCAGTAATCCCATGACAGCATTACCAGAAATCAGTGATTTCCGGAGTTGAGCTGACCGTGTATGAACTCGAATTGCCATTCGACAATTTTTGTCATAAATCTAGGCTCTGTATCACTAGTTTGATATAATCATGAAAAGTTTACACCTATGGTACTGATTGCAAACAGTTGATGCTTCAAAGAAATACCAGCTGAAAAATTTTGCAACAAAGTAGTATAATGGATCCCGGACTAATTCGTGTTTTTGATATAAACGCACAAAAAATATATACTTATACTAAAACTGAACACATAAACAATAAAGCATAGTGTTGTTTATGTTATTCTAACATCTTATCGCTAGTATTTTATACCTATTTTAAAACACAACATTTCCACTGGCAGGGTATCCGACTGTAGGTTCGCTTAATTTTATTCGTCGAAGGTTGATGAATGCTTTGTTTCCTTACTTCATATCAAACTGCATCCATGATTTTGAGATCTACGTCCGAAACGATGGTTGTTGACCCAAACGATTAGATTCACTAATGCAAGAAAATGAAAGTTGGAAAATTGCCACTTTGAAATATAATTATAATTTCTTTTCACGGTTTTTGGCGGTTACGTCATCAATGCTAGACGAAATACGTAAGCAAACCGACTGACTGAACCATGTGCGGAGCTGAAGTTCTTAAGAAAATTGCACATTGGGCAAAAGGCCCGGGTATTACGTATCTTGAACAGTGACATATTGTCAGTTTTTTGTGACATATCGTAGGTTTTTCTACAAGATGTCAACTTAGCACTAGCTGTACACTTGTTGTGATCTCGTTTTGTAGCTGTACGTGTTGCCTAAACGTCATGATGCTTCAGCTATCAATGTTTGGCTCTGATGTGATGTAACATCTACTCCAGAGATGGCATTATTGGAGGTTTAAGCTGTAAGTTGTATACTATAGCTGGAAGGAAACGGCAGTGCATATATGCATAGTGAGGATTTTCGTGCTAGTAATCTTTGTTGATGATAATTCCATTGGTTTCTTGTCTCAAATACACCTACTTGAGATGTATTCAAAGCAGGAAATTACTTGAGCATTCACGTTTTCTTATTAAGTCTGAAAACATATGCAAATTTGCTGAATTTCAAAAATGACAGAGATAAGAAAAGAAAATCCCTGGTTGGTGAAACATGTTACAAAGTAACAGGTGAGAAAATATGTTACAGACAGGAATATTCATGAAACGTAAAAAAGCTATAAAACTTATGTCTAGCCTATGATACCGTCGGAGCCATTTCGAACGTCAGGGCGTCAGTTTTACAATTTTCAATTGGATTTTTTTAAGTCCTCTAGAGCCTAGTAGAGTATATTTCAACAGTTGTCATGCGTGGCTATGTTTTCTTTACTCGAGCCAACCTGTCTCCAGAAAGGACAATATATAAAAAACCCGTCGGGCACAGATAATAGATATACCTCATTGGCAGTAATAATTTTCCCACATATCAAATATCACTGATTTTGTACACATGCAGACCAATACACATAATCACCCAGATGCGATCTTTCTACTCAACCAACTTTCTTCCTTTCATATCTTCTCAGAGATAAACACTACAGACTACTCGGCTTTCTGCAACCAACAATGCATGTGGTGTCGTTGAGTCATGCTTCCATAGATAGACGCTTTTGATAGCTCTGACAGCGATCATAGGCAGCAAATGAGGAATTAACTATCAATTTGCACACTAAAAACTACCTAGTCTTGCTTACACAATACCTTTGCCGAGCTTAAATACCTACTCCAATAATTTTAGCAAAAACTGTCGATATTGTCCGTTATTTGTATTTTCGAGTACTGCTGTTGTACATATATTACGAAGATCAATATGTCTGAGCTTACACAAACAAACGTTCACGCTCAGAGGCAGATTTTATATGTATCTGTGAGGGAGATGGAGAAGTAAAAGTAATGCCGGTAGTTTTACTGTGACACACCAGATACCGTGATATGAACTATGCATATTAGTTCTACATATTTTACTGTTTTACTGCCCATCATGTACAACAGGCAACCAGCAAAAAAAATGGCGTCAAGTTTATGGACTCTGCACTTCCTACACAACGCCGTCATCAGTTCATAAAGGATTAAGTTCTGCGCAATTTAATTCCTTTGAGAAAATATTGAGTTTCGGACATGTGTAACAGAGAAATTAAACTAAGTCAGTCAAACAGGCCCATACAATTAGTCCGTAGACATTCTTTCTCTGCCCTACTGATAGTTACCGACCATATGGCAACGTTGTCCTTTTCCACATATGCGCGGAATCTCTGCAGTTATCTTTCGGTTCGTGCAAGCTTCAGTACGAATACATTTGAAAAATTTCCCACCATGGATTTATCGAAAACCACTGATTTGAAGAAAAACGCCGAGACGCGTCAAAAGATTGGTCAAGGGGAACAACTTTTTAACCAAAAACTACTTCACCCCCTTTCACCCTCGGCCCACAGGGTCATTCCTTTAAAAAATTTTAACGACAAGGGATATCGAGTAATAGCTTGTTTGAAAGGTCTTTCGAAGTCCTTCAGGTTGACGTTTGATTTTTAAAAATCAATCGATTCGTTTTCGAGAAAATTAGAAAAATCTTTATTTATCTTAATTTAGTTTAAAAACACACGAAAATATCACTTTTCACTTCAATAAGTGTTCAAAATGTTGCCCGTTAGGGTTTGCCAAATCTATAATTCGTTTATAATTTAAAACGGAAACTACCAACCTAAACAGGCATTCGGAAGATTAGACATGGCAACAAATAAATAACAACCCGAATATTATTCCGCATTCTTTTCATCAACACAGATATCCTGGCCGAACTTTATTTATTGTTATATCTTTTTAGTTATTTGTTGCTAAGGGAAAGAAAGAATTTAATTTGCTGTCAGTTACCTTTGTGACAATCTTGAGATAATGAAAATTAATTTATTGATTCAGATTTTACTTCCAAAATGGTTTACACACTAGCCGAAAGAGTGGAAATGATTGTACTTTTTGCCGAAAATGATGATATTTTTTTTTCGTTATTGACCTCTTTCTCCGCCACCACTAAACCGATTTTCAAAAACTACAAACCTTTTTCATCCCTCGTATAGTAGTAACCTTGTTTGAAGATTTCATCCTAATCCGAGCAGTACCTTCCAAGTTATAAAGAGGCCAAGAATTACCGGACAGATAGTTAGACCGACAGAAAAACTGACGGAAATGAGTGACAACATCCAAAAAACATAATCTCATTTTCAATTTTTTTTGCGATTGAAATACTCCCACGTCTAGTGGTGTAGGAAGTAAAAGGAGAGCACACACTAACAAATGGTTATTAGGACCCGTGTAAATCAGTAGATTGTACGACAGATGACCTAGGTCACCCAAAAGTTGACCATGACTTCTACATCTCAACCTAATTCCCCGTCTCCTCTAAAACACTTGCCAGTCGATATTTTTACCAGCGCTCTATAACAGCAAGTCTCTGGATGATCTGTCTAATTTTAAACATCACAGTACGTCACGAATTTTCCCACAGAATTTTCTCAGTTGTCTGCCACCAAATTGCGGGGATAGTGAAATATACCAGGAAGTTTAATGAAAAATTAAGATTTTGTATAGAGTTTTAGGGCCTTCTTCCGTTGCAAAGGCGTTTCCACAGTTAGTACACTTGTTGTTTGTGACTCGTCCTTGTGTTGGTGTTTGTTTTCTAAGGTGGCGATGATCTCAGGACCATTAGGTCTACATAGCTCTTATGTCACTTCTTATAGTGACGCATCATACATACAAAAAAAGACTGTGAGTATACTAAAGATGTGATTGTGTGGTGCATAAAGCTTAACTAGAAAATTCTGCAGATTCGGAGCTCCCAGAGCTCTTTTAGAACCGTACACAAAAGTTTATTTTCTTCGGAGCATTGTTTATATTATGCGGCTTGAGAAAACTACGTATAAGTTTTAAGGGTCTAAGCATAAGTTCATATAGCTTGGTTCGTTCCAGCAGTTGAGGAGCTTTCGTATGGTGGTTTTGGTGTAGCCTCTCCTCAAGCCTTTTGTTGACTACTTCGATATACTGGGTGGTGTACAATGCGCCGAAAAGAATACACATATCTTGAAAATGGTTTTATAACCGAAATAGATGTAGAATACGTTGTTTACTACAAATATCCACTCGGCCACAATTTCCAATAAAACATAATGGGGCGGTACTAGCTAGAGAGCTATGTCTTGATATATCTAGCTTATAGGCTGTAACTAGCGTTGGAAATTAGAATATAATCATATCTGTCATCCTAACACCCCTGAATGCCAATTATTTTCTCGAGATTAATCTAGGTTTGCTTTTTGGTGCATTTTTATCACTGACCACCCTGTAGATATTGAGTGATTGTCGGTAGACATATTAAGAGGTATTGACAATTGACTTTATTTGGGAACTTTGGGTGACTTCAGTGTTGGAATCCTTGCATACGATTAAAAACCTCATATTGTGATATGACAAATACTATATGACGTGTGCAAAAAGAATTATCAGTATCGATCCAAAATTACAAACAATATACAATTTCCTACCTGAGTAAATGACTTATAAGACCTATAAACCAAACATGTTCTAAAATTTGATGAGCACTCATTCATCCATATCATTTAGTAAATTGCACTGTTCTCTGGGCTAATCTGTGTAAACAATAATCAACCGATCTTTGTAATTCACAGTCGTCATACTTATAATTATAGTAATATCTAAATTTATGAGTTGTTTGCGCATTCTTGTATTAGAATTCGATTAAAATTCACTTTTCCAGTTTTTAAGTAATCAAGCATTGGCGATACGTGTTAGGAGAGAAACATTTACAAACATCTTTTAAAACACTCAAGAGACCCTGCAGAAAGCTTATCGCCAAAAGAATGTCTTTCGATATTGCTACAACTTCTGAAATATGTAAAGTTTGACACACAGATTTCCTAATTTTAATAACATATAGGTGAGCACTTTTGTGAGGAGGATAACATAAACAACCTGAGAAACTTGATTCAGATGGCCGGACCGAATTTCTGGATTATGCAAATACTTGCCTGGATTTTTACATTTCTTATTGGAAATGCAATACCTATTGTAGTTTGGTTTACCAAGGAAGATTAAATGACCATCAAACATTAACATATTCGGAATCGTGTAATGTTCAATATTTTGGATTTTTACTGTTGAAAATTTAAGACAGAAAAACATTGGGTCAATATCGACAGACATTTTCGTCACTTCATTTGAACACCTAAAGTTGTATGTGTTATGAAATGTTTGAGTATTTTCACAGCTGTAATATCTATTCAAAACGATTAACCAAATTGATCACACTGTTAGGTGCAGAAAGCAAGTATATGTTTTATGAAGCTGATTAGTCTGTAGTGTTTATCTCTGAGAAAGAAAGTTGATTGAGTAGCAAGATCGCATCTGGATGATTATGTCTATAGGTCTGTGTATAAAATCAGTGATATTTGCTGTGCGATAAAATCATTACTGAATAGATTGCCAATCAAGTATATCTAATAGCTGTGTCCGGCGGGTTATTTATATGTTGTCCTTTCTGAAGAAAATGTTATAAATCACGATTTTTTACCTTTTTTGTATTTTCAAAAACTTTGAAGAGGATTACGGGAAATGCCCACCGCGCTCACGTTGTGTGTTATTTACTGTTAACATGTATATGACTTGTAATTCGACGTGTACAATGAGTATAATTATTTCTTATCTCTCTCATTTTTAAATTCAGCAAATTTGCATATGTAATTTCCAGAATATAAAGGGTGAGCCATCTGATGGTTAAAATGAAAACGCAGAGTTATATTTTTTTAAACGGGTTTTTTTATTTGAGAGCACTACCCTTCCGGTTAATGATGAAACACAATCTGATTCGTATGCGCGCCACGGCTGAGCATGACGTAGCCGATACTGTCGACCCAATCTTTCAGTACATTTTCCAAAGTCTGCGGCATTATTTCACCAATGGCTGCATGAATGTTGGTCTTTAAGCGCTCAATCGTCGCTGGGGCATCCGCATAGCATTTATCTTTCACGCTACTCCACAAAAAATAATCGCAGCTTTGCGGTGGACAAGTCACATCAACAAAACGGCTGATTGCGCGACTTTCGAACTGTTCTTGAAGAAGCGCGATTGTTTCGCGGCTTGTGTGGTCGCGCCGACTTCTGGAAAGAAATAGTCAGTCAGCAAGCTCCGATAGCGCCCACCAATGACCGTGACGGCGCGTCCTTCGTCACACAAACCACACCAAAAAGTCACGCGTTACCTCTAAGTAATTTCATTTGGCTATACTGAGCAACAAATGTGGCAATTTTGCTTATTGACGTAGCCACCAAGATGAAAATCGGCCTCATCCGAAAAAAATGATTTTTCGGTAAAAATAGGGGTCCTTGTCCAAGTGTCCAATTTTTAGCGCTTCCCAACGCTGTTTAAGCGTATACGTATATAGATACATATTCGTTCACCGCAGACTCTTTACTAAATTCCTGTGAAAACAGAACTGATGTAAGTGTTGCCAATCCTGAGATAAACCCTAGTTCAAAAATTAACCAACAGATGGATTACCCTTTATAATAAAAAGTAGATGCGCAACAAATTTCCAGCTTTGAATTTCAAGTAAGTGTATTTGAGACAAGAATACAATGGAACTATCATCAATACATATTATTAGCACACAAATCCTCACTATGCACCTATATAGAACTTACAGCTTAGAACTCCAGCAACGCCATCTCTGGAGCAGATTTTACATTATATCAGAGCCAAACCACAGCTAAACATTCATAACTGAAGCCTCATGACGTTTAGGCAACTACAAAAGGAGATCACAACGTGCCCATCAGCTAATGCTTAGTGAACATCTTGTAGAAAAACCTACATAATGTCACAAAAAACCAATACAATGTCAAAGACATCGACATAATGTCACTTTTTAAGATACGAAATACCTATGCCGGACAAGTTAGCAAGCTATGAAATGGATACCTAGCGTAAATGAGGCAGTTAAAAATTTGAAAATGGCTGCTGCGCGCATTTTTTTTTAAATGGAATAGCTGGTCGTGTGATATCTTATTTTGAAGATACTTATGAGTATTTTATAATTCCAGAATATAAAATTGCTATCCTCAAAAATCGTGAACTGGTATGCTGTCAAAGATGATCGTTTTTGTACATTTCATCTCTCATAACGTAACAACCAATCATCAAACTCTGTAGTATTTTATATCAATCTTCTTCTATTGTAAGGATCTATCAAATATGTTGTAAAATATGAAACATTCTTTTCAAAAAATCTCAAAATCTGCAAATTTTTTAATCTGAATATCCTATATTTGCACATTCAGAAAGACCCCTCTACAAGAATAAGATTGATATAACATACATACTATATAACGTTTTGATGACTGGTTGTCGAGTTATAAGAGGTTAAATGAACAAAAGCGATCAACTTTAGCAGCCTGCCAGTCCGCCACTTTGAAAGATACTGTTTATATTCTAACATTGTAAAGTACTCATAAGGGGCTTGAGATCCTATGTATCACACGATCTCCTATTCCATTTAAAAATGTTACAAAATGGCTCCCAGCCGCCAATTTGAAATTTTCAACTGCCACTTTTAAGTTAAAATATAGTGTCCATATCCTCGTTTGAAGAAACCAGTAGGGGGACCTTTTTGAAAAGCACTGTATATTTGTGCATGTGTCCATCAACCATCTGTAAATTATATGCTCGTTATGTAGTTAACAACGAAAAATAAAACAATCATCACTAATCACTCAAACTGCATTTGCATTCACCTATCAATTGTCGTATGTACGTTATTGTTGTATACAACATAAAACGTGCTATGACAAGTCTGTTTCAGATTGAAAAATGTAATTGTCTTATTATTTTTATATTGTTTATTGCGTTTTGCACTGGCTCAAGTGATTTAGTGTTGGGTCAGGGCGGTATCAAAAAAGTGCAATCGTGCGGGAACAAAAGCAGTATAACTGTTTGTCAGTCCTTTGACCAATTATTTGTCATATTTTTTCCTTCTACTTCCCGTTTACCTCCACTAATTTTGCGGAAAGTGTGAAAGCACGAATCCTTATGACGTTATGAGATATTAATTCGATATCTCCTCGTCCACCGCAATATTTCTTGGTGCAGATATATTGTGGCGCACGTTGCAGTAATATTCCACACTAACAAGGAAAAGTGCGTACATAGTACATCATTGGAAAACACTATTAGTAAATGATAATATTGCCGCACGATTTTCATTTACTTAGGAGATATTTACGCCAATTTTGAAAACGTGCCTACGTGGCAACATACGGTAGATCTCCACCAATTAATTGTCAAAATAGGAGTCTCAGATTTGTATTTTGAATAATTCAATATACGATTGTGATTCCATCAGTTCCACATTCATCCTCTGGATAAGATTCAAAGTTTCAAGTTACATTTAAAAGTGGTCGATTCTAGTGGATGGCGCTTTGCGCTGTCTTATTGTGATAGATCATACACTTTATATAGTGTGTAGCTGCTATGCTTTCGTTCGGTGTCCAACAGACCCTTAGCCTAGGCCATGCTGAAGAGTAGCTAGCTTGAAACAGCTGCCCATGGTAGGTTGTCTTTGATGGTCAGACGAACGAAAGTAGAGCATGTTTATTTTATTTTGTTCAATGGCAAGTAGACCACGTCTGCTTAACATTAAAAAAATTGCAATAAAAAGTGCTGAATGGTTTCGACAAATTTCTAGTTGCTCCTTTTTTGAGCAAAATGGGCTATTTGGCAACTTTGGAAAAATCAAAAGGCTTCATATTGAGCCATTCTCTGATGAACCAAACCAATAAACTCGATAATATATGATGTTCTCTTATAGTTTGTTTTTATTTCTGTCATTTCTATTTGACTGAAGAGTTACGTAGTTCATCACGTTCTAACAAAAAATCAATTCGGTGTTGTAATTCAAATGTACGTTTCAACAACTAATAAACTGTATTCTTAAATACGATGAATGGGAACGTATTCGCTTTTACTGCTAATGACTTCGATGTTTTGTAAACACTGCGTTTTTGAACCAAATAAATTTTTAAAAGTTCGAGTACATGGGCTATAATTTATGTTGCCTGCCTGTCGGTTGGTCTAACATGTGTTGAACAAGAAATGTTGACATTTGCAAATATATGCATTGGCGACGATAAAGGGTTAATCAAAACATCCATAAACTCCATGTTTGTAGTTTCTGTGGTTGTCGACCATTTATGACGGTGGTGTTTTTTGGAAGGATACTTTTATTGTTTCGCGGTTGCTGCAGTTAACTTAGCGTAATTTGAAAATCCAATTCATTACTTCTTTGCAGGTCACGGACTTGTACAAACAAATGAAAGAGCAGCATAATCACCAAACACCTACTAGATCGCTAAGTACAGCCGCCAACCTGACGTCCCTTTGCGTGGATATCTCCCCTAGCTGTAGCAACTTCTTTGAAGTAAGCATAATAGAATAAGACAAACTGTCCAAAGACAATATTGACAATTTATCGAACGCTGCTTTTAGAGATATGATTTAAGCTTCTGTTGTCTATACAATTTGAGCTGCGCGACGTTTCGATTGCTTTGATGTCTTTCATTTACCTAAAAACATTTGAAGTCAAAGGTTCTTTCTTTTAATCTTTCCTGAAGGTAACTGAAATTGAATCAATCTAAATCGTTTAACTTGAAATATTAGATTTTGTTAATCAAATAAACCAAAATCTTGATAAACCATAAATTATTGTTAGACACATTGGAGAATGTTGACTTTCAGGAAAAAATGTACTAGAAAATTATTTATATCCAACAGGCAGCAATCCGTTAAAGTATCAACATTTTTTATCAAATATGGCGGCCCACAGGGAACCGCTTTAGGTCCACTGCTTTTTAATGTATACTTAAATGATATATTTCAAAGTGGCTGTGTGGGCATTTTTTTCCATTTTCTTCCTATTCCAGACCTGGATCCACACTTGCGTTGGGATGTTCATATTTCATATATTTTAAAAAAGTTAGATATATGTATCATATAAAATTAAATATATCGACAACATTTCAAAAGAAAAATATCTCTATACCTTATACCATACCTTGATCGAGCCATATTTAACCTACGGTATATTGGCATGGGGAGCTGTATGCTCAACTTATATCCATGATTGGGATATTTTTCAAAAAATGATTTTAAAAAAATGTTTAACAAACCAAAATTGTATCCAACTGATGCCTTATACCAAGATACACACATATATGACTTTGAACAGCTTTATCTTTTACATGCTATAACCAACTATCAGAAATTTATCAATAACGATCAAAAATTAAACTCAATCGCCACACAAGACATAAACTAAGAGGAACAGTTGTGCCTAGACCAAATAAATACACAACGATCATACCTTTATTTAGGTCCAAAATTATAAATAAATTTATTTGTCGGTATAAAGGGTCTACGCTTTGGAAATAAGTCCATGAAAAAGTTAAAAGAATGGATTTTTTCTCTGGCAAGACCAGACGTATACAATTTAATAGTAAATGTGATCAAATAGTTCGTTGACTAATTGTATCTCCATTCATATTTCAATGATACATGGTCCATATACAGGCAATGCCTCCTATGGCCCGTTACTTCATATTTATTTACTCATTCTTTGTATTGTGTTTCAGGAGTAAATAAATAATATTATTATTTTCAGGTGTTATATGTAGGCAAAACAAAAGGTTGGCAAAAGAAAGTTCCCAATTCCTTCATAGATGATGCCTTACAAAAGATCAAAGCACGTGAATCGGAAAAAAATAAGCAAATAGGCCTTACTGGAAGACTGTTAACTGAAGATGATGTTACAAGAAGAGGCTCACAGGTAAATTTAGTGAATTTGAATTAGTCAATTTGATGTTAAAATACCGAATCGATAAAACGAAAGAAACCGTTACGTGGCCATTAGCGTCTCTTGCAGGTGATTTGTGCCACGCAATTTTGTCATTCTAAAAAGGTGACATACTAAATAAACACTGTCGAATGATGTAGTTACGCGACCTAGCCAAATCCGTAAATGGACGCTTACTCTCAAGTACACAAGTTACACCGTGTCAGTTTGGTTCTGGTGATGCCTGATGACGTTTTTTTATTTTGATCTAGGATTCGTCGATAAGTGAGCCAAGTGGTGATGACAGCGACTCACGTCAAGGGAAACAGTCATTACCACCTCATGCTCCACTGCTCAGGTCCCAGTCTTACCATGTCAATTTTGTCCAACCAAAAATTCCAAACGAAGAAGATTGTAGCGAGAGCAGCGATGACATTAACAGACAGTTTGGAAATGAATCACAAGAGGAATCTGTGTCTAGGTAACAATAAATTGCGTTAAAAAGGGTAAAATAATCTTCAAGCAGAGAAAGATTCGTAACATTATGTCTCAATTCAATTTTTCTCCTGGACAAGTAGACTAATAAAAAGCTCAAGAGAGGCGCTCAAGTAAAATTGAATATCTCATTCAAAAATACACTAGATGTTTAAAAGAAGTGAGTGGCCTAGAAAATATATAATTACTTTTTTTCATCTATGGGAGTCAAAATTTTCCAGTTTCTACGCGACTGGTGCAGATTGATAGTACTACACTTGTTACTATTTGTACAAAATTTTAAGTCAATATCTTAATCCACTCCGAATATATTTTTTTTTTTCGATGTTGAAATTACTTCAACACGAGAATCCTAGTAAGAGGGTATTTTAGGTCCCAAGCAGATCATATGACCCGACACTGAGTTTAACAGGGCCAAAAATATTCATAGAGAGATCTCAATCGCTCCGATCTGGCTAAAGAAATATTCTTTTAAAATAGTCCCCTAAATAATATCTACAAAAATCAAGCGAGATACTATCTGAAATATCGATTTGCTAGTTATATTACTATTGCAATTTTGCAAATGAAAATCTATATTTCCTCTTGTGTAATAATTGTGGTAATGATTATTCAATTATATGTTATATTATTAAATGTTTTGGGAAAACATGATTTTTTATTTTAAATATAAAAATAAGAACCAAATATGATATGAAATTTTTTATATTCAACCACTGCAATTCTTGTAACATAGACTTTATTTTGGTGTACTTATTTTTATTCAATATTATTCTCATAGCTTTCTTTTGCAGGACTTGTAATTTTGAGAATACAGCTGCATTGGCAGTGAACAAGATAGTTGAACAATATAGTAAATGCGGTAGAATAATTGTATTATAAACTATTTTTTTTGGAATATGTACCAAATAATGTATTCATAGTGATCCCCAATCTTTGGTTTACTATCAATATACAGGGTGTTAATAAAATATGTAGACAAACTTTAACCATCGAATCCTTGGTCAATTTGAAAACGAAATTTCCATATGAACATGGGTCCGCAATGGCTTTGTTTTCAAGCTAGAGCATATTAGCATTAAAAGAAATGATGATATTGTTCTGAAAAATTATAAAAAAATGGAACGTTTTTTATTTTAATTAAGTATGCCCTGTGGTAAATATCACATGATTTACAGTTGTTTTCAGACCCTCCATGTACGTAGATACGGATAATGTTACCCAGTATTTTTTGAAAAAATAGCATGATATCGATTTGTTTTGATCGCAATACTTTTAATATTAATCATGCCTAACTATACAAAATACTCCGGGTATTTTCAGAAGAGTTCGTCACTCAATGTGAAACAGACTAGACGCCTGTATTGAAGTCGAAGTTTGAACATTTATTGTAAAAAAAACTATTCGATATTTTGTATTATTGTCGTTCTATCCGAATGTTACTGTTCAAAACCATTGACCTTTTAAATACATTTTTCCAAAAATACAGTATGATACTATTTTCATCCACGTTCATATTGAGCCTCAGCAACTTGTAAAATATGCAAACTTTATCATAGGTTATACCAACTGTTCGTTATCCAATAAATATTTGGAACATTACTCGTATTTCTTTAGTGATAGAGCTTTAGCTCGAAAAAGATGCCGTTACGGACCCATGTTCATATGAACAGTTAGTATTCAAATTGATCAAGGTTTCGATGGTTGAAGTTTGTTTACATACCTAAATATTTAATTGATTCAACATTTTTAATTGTTTCATCATTTATCCTGTGATAGTATTTTCAGGTATTTCCCTATTATCATACATTTTATTTTAGAAGTATTTAATTTTAATTTATTTACATATAATCAATTTTTTAGTTTTGCCAAGTCAGTATTTAGCGTTTCTAAAGCAGTGTCTATATTTTCATCTGATATGTGCTTATATTAATGTATCAATGTCAATAGTCTCAAATGCACTTTTGAAGTTATGGCCCACAGAAGGTATATGGCAGAGCTGAATATTACTTTGTTGTTATAGTGTTTTAGAAAGTAGGTATATACCAAATCCAACTTGAACACATTTGAGTGAAGTTAGTCTTATTTTCACTTTTCTCACCTGATATCTGTAAATCGGAAAACTGCCCAACTTAACAGATACCCTTGAAAGTACAAATAAACGCTACTAAATGCCACAAGTTTTGTCTTTGAGAAAATAAGTGATGTCTGGCAGCCATGAAATCTTAGAATAATTCACGCAAAATGTTTCAGGCCTAATGAGGATAAGACAAGGAGCGAATCAGTACCTGACCTAAAATCTCCCGTCGGAATTGATGATTATAATCGTACTATGGTCCTGCAAGTAGACAGGACTGACTTGAGACTGATCAGCCCTGATAGGAAAGTCATCCTGCTTCATAAACACCACAAAGATGTCACCACGTGTGTTCAAGTAAGTTGTGTATTTTGTCTCAATTGTGCACTTATTTTTAAGGCGATTTCGATTTTAGGGTCAAACTAGCTCCAAATATTTCGGATTTATATGTAAAGAAGGAAATACAGAAACTTACGTAGGATATATTTTCAAATGTGAATCGGCTTCCATAGCAAGTGATACCGTAGCAGGTATGTACCGAAGCCTGGATCGCACTAAATTCCAGGAGTCTGGCGCATCTACTATACTAACTATATAACTATTTATATTTTTTTGTATTCAAAACAGTGTTCATCAATATACAGGGTATCCGAAAAGTTGGGGTTTTCCTTTACACGACGTGTAGATCTTGAAAACATAAGCAATTTTTCTTAGTACCATATACACCAATGTCTTAAGGGAACCGAGATAAAGGGCTCTGCAATATCAAAAATATCTGAATACCGTCCTGTAGCCGCGACCCGCGACATCACCCAGTGGTACAAGGTCACTGGCTCAACCCGACGACAGAACTGGGTCGGGGTCAATGTGTCAGGTCAGTATGCAACCTTCAACCGACGGTTACGGTCACGCGTGTAGAGGTAATCGCGTAGACGAGAATCCATCAACAAGCACTAGAGACGTGGCTAGAGAAGTGCAAGTATCAAAAACTAAAGTGTGGCAAACGCTGCGTGAAGAGGGGCTTTATCCGTTTCACGTCCAACGTGTACAAGCCCTTCAACCTGACGATTTTTCAGCAAGAGTGCGGTTTTGTGAGTGGTTGTTGCATCAACATGACAATAATCCGGACTTTTTGAAGTGCATATTGGTGACAGACGAATCTACGTTCACGCGAAATGGGGTGAATAACTTTCGCAACACTCATGTTTGGTCAGTAGAAAATCCGCACGCTGTCCGTCGAGCACATTTTCAACAAACATTTTCGGTGAATGTTTGGGCTGGCATGGCGCGTCTGCTCGGTAGCGCATAAGCTGATTTCATTTTCTGTTGGAGCGGTATGATTTCGGGCAAAGACGTACTTAGCCCTTCTCGTCAACTGAAGAGTGAGTACTTTTTCCTTTATTTTTTTTTACTTGGTCGCCCTCGTTTCACTACACATTACCTTTGTTATTTCAAGGGTAGTTGTTTCTGAAAAGGAAAACCCCAACTTTGCGGACACCCTGTATTTGGTTCTAAAAGATTCACGGTTATTATAATGGGGCAAGGTATTATGAGTGACACTGCAATGAGAGTTTTATCCCTTATGTAACTTGTTAAAACAAGCGCAATTGTTTGACCGTTCAGCTTTATTTCCAGCTATCACTCAAGCATTCTTAAGTGCGGAAGCAAGGACCAAACAGGTTGTCACATCATGTGAACACTGTCCTATGGTGTGGTTTCATAAACTTTGTGTGGAAATAGAACAAATGTCAGACAGAAAAACTCAGGCAGCTATATTAAGAAGGTATAATTTTTTACTTTTCTTTTAGTTTGTTTTTAACTTCATCTGGCATATCAAAAATTTGATAAAATCATCACCAAATATATTTGTCTGTGCTTTTTGAGTGCCTAGACAAAGTCGATTACTATGCATGCTTTCAAAGTATGAAAAGAGCAAAACATATTTAAAAACAAACATTTTCAGGTTAGAGCAACTGGACGAAGAAGAACAAAATACAATATTAACTAAATTTAGAGGAGCTGAAACAGATTCAGTTAGGGAACAGAATGAATTTCTGATGATGCTCCTTAGAGCCCATTGTGAAATGAAACAGGGCAGGCATGTTCATGACACAGCTGAAAATAGGTATGAAGAGCTTTTTATCTTCGATTATTATCTAACCAATCGTGGATTGTTGTCCTTAATAATAATTATTTCAATAGTTAATGTCGAATAAAGTTGTAATTCTCAAAAATATGTACAGCTCAGTTGGATGGTTAACCACAGCTGAAATTGTTAGCCTGTTCAGAGATCGAAATATATAACCTTTAATATTGATATTTCAATAAAATTTTATTTCTTCCCTTTCAGGTCTGAATTCTTGAGTCACCATCTAGGAAGCAACACAATATTCACCAAAGCCAAAAGATCCTTAACCAATTCATTTGATCAACTATTAAAAAGAAAACTGTCCAGAGATGATTTTGGACCATCTTTGAGGAATTTGAACTTGCCTATCACCAATAGCTTAAATAGGGTAGGTTTAAACTGCATATTCTCATCTTACGCCATAAACGGCATCGATTGTGCTTAATAAATGAATGTAAGATAAAAAATATTAGACCAAGTTGGTTTCATTGTGTTTGACCTTGGATTTTGAAGCCATATTTGTTTTTTTCTTCAGGAACACTCTCCATCTCCTGGTGCATCAGCAGACCAAAACGAAAGAGATTCGGATAGTCCTAGATCTGGGTCTCCCACAAAAGGGTCACAAAATGACCTCAATCATTTGCAAGTGAGAGATAACCAAAAGAAACTGCATCACCTGAACGAAGTACGGGGTCTGATAAAGCTCTTAAATCGCCAATGATGGATATGTAAGTCGAATTCCATGTGCCCAAACATGTGTGAATGTTAACAAATCAGTAATAAACGAACTACATATATATATATATTGATCAACATATTCTGCCAGAATATACCCAATTCATTTAAAACTGTACAAAGATATACACGTGTCGGTCGCCATCTTTAGAAACCCTGGTAATAATAACTAATGAGGTTGAGGGCTAGTTTTCTTTAAAAAGAATGTTGAGGTTGTTTTTATTACTTTTAGGAAATTAATGCTATTCTACTTGACAACGTAGCAGGTAATGATGGAAATTTTATGTGAACGTCCAAATACAGCATGGTTGGGTATATTATATCAATGGTTTTTTATAGGGAGATTATGGAAATTCTTTCATGCAATATTTTTGAAGGTTTCATTCACAGATAAGTATTTAATCTCTAGATTTCTGAAAGTTGGTAACAGCCCGAAATCCGCAACCTCTGAAGATAGCTCGCCCAACAGATTGGACGCCGGGTCATGGAGACAAGCCATTTTCAAAAGGGTTGTCACACCAAGCAAAGTTGAAAAACCCGATCAGTCAGCCAGAAAGCGGTCAAAAGAGGAATTGAAGATACTTTGGAAGAAGTCTATCTACCAAACTATTTTGCTCGTAAGAATGGAGAAGGAGAATGCTCGGCTGAAAGGTAAGAAGAAATTATCAAAAACCTACTTTATTCCCTTCACCCCTTACATAAATAAATGACCGCTATATAATCAGCTAAATATAAAGAAGCAAATATCCAAAATGAATATATATCTCGTAAACTAAATCATAATATCGAGGAGTTATTTTAGACTGCCATCTTCGTTGGGAACATATTCAATACATTAAAAAGAAACTTAGATTTCTATTATATGAATTCAAAGATTAGAGACAAACTTCAAACGAAATTATCAAAAAAAATTATATCAAACATTAGTTGAATGCCACATAACCTATGGAATTATGATCTTAGGTTCGACGAATAATAACCATCTAAATTCTTTACAAATAATACAAAAACTATTCATAAAAACAATTCATACTATATCCGTCAAATCGAGGTTTATAGGATCAAAACTTTTAAATATAAACAAATTATTTTGATATAATGTTATACTAGAATTCCATAGAAACAAACATTCGACCATTTATAAAAATTATCAATATGATACTAGAAATAAAAATAAACAAATAATTATTGTAACACAAAAAAAAGAAATAATATTGAAATTTTCTATATACTTAGGTCCAAAATTATATCATAAATTACCAAAATATATAAGAAAAAACCGAATATCATTATTAAAAACAGATTTATACGCTATTGAAAACTGATATAAACATGATATAATTTATAAAAGACTAACATGTAAATATATTTTCTTCATTGCTAATCTGCGATCCAAAATTAATGTACAAATTACATTTATATTGTATAGATTTTTTTTAGTCCTATCAGTTTATTGTAACTGAATGAACGAATCGTGAAATTAGAGGCATTCCGGCCACCACAAGGAACCAGCAGTACATAGGCCGCCCTTATGCACATTCCTTAGACCTCAAGCCTCACCTTTCTAGCGAAGTTGTGTATGGCCTTGAGACCAAGCTCCTTAACGTCCTGAGGGTCCAAAGTAATGGACCCCAGTATAGCCTGCCTATAGTAGCTCAGAGCTTCACAGCGACACAGAACGTGCGCTGAGGTTTTTTCCTCTACCCCGCAGCGCTCATACAAGGGGTCCTCACCCACCCCGATCACGTGCAGATGGCGCCTTAACGTGTTATGGCTAGACAACAGTCCCACTAGCAACCGCAGCTTGGCTCTATCCAGAGATAAGCAGAAACGTCCATTCTTAGCGCTGGGCCGGGTTTCCGTACTTGACGGAGATGTCTGGAGATACTTACTTATTCATTTCTGAGAGTGTTGTCTTGTAATCCACGTCTCCATTTTCCTCCTAACTCTTTGCGCGAGCACACCTAAAGCTGGCTCAGAACCAACGAGCTTGCTGGCTGATCCTGTCTTCGCCAGAGCGTCCGCCGTTTCACTGCCCCTTATCCCAGCGTGCCACGGTACCCACATTAACGATACCGGATGCCTCGCTGAGAGACAATCCAGAGCCTCCCTACATTGCAATACAAGGCTCGAAGTAATCTTAGTGCCTTCATTGCAGCGTGGCTATCGGATAAGATAGATATCCTTCTCCTAGGCCCACTCTCCTCCAGAGTGCGAGATGTGCCAGTATAGCAAAGATTTCCGCCTGGAAAATAGTGGTGTATCCACCAAGAGACAAGGATAGCCTAGTTCTAGGCCCAGAGACCCCAGCTTCAGAGCCCTCTTCGGTAACCGAGCTGTCCGTGTACCAGACCTGCCTCCGGCTACCGGCGTCCCACTCGTCCCTCGTTGGATACTCCGCATTGAACTCGCAGTTGAAGCGATATTTAGGGGTAATAAGATCAACCCTGCTTAGAAGCATGGGGTCCTCTCTTTGCAGATCGACTAAGATGGCAGTATGCCCCTTGACAGGATTCAAGAAGGCCCAGCTGCCCTGACTCCACAGTCGATGAGCAACTACTCTCGCTTCTCCGCGGATGACTAGATCCAATGGTGGGAGATCCAGCAAAGCTTCCATTGCACTCAGTCCCGTTGTTCGCATTGCGCATGTGAAGCTAATACAGGCCAAACGGTGAATTTTATCGAGTTTGGCCTTAGTTGTCTCAGTTCGAATGCAAGGCCACCAGACCAGGGAGCCGTACAAGAGAGATCGACGTACTATCATCGTGTAGAGCTAGTGTACCACTTTGGGTTTAAGCCTCCACCTTACCCCGACAACATGTCTCCAAGCCCACATTGAATTGCGAGCCTTGTTAACCTTGTATTCAACATACCCTCTCCATTTCAGTTTGCAGTCCAGGATAATTCCTAGATATTTTACTGATTGGGATAGAACTAAACTAGTCCAAAAGAAGGTCGGCAAGACAAGCCCGTCAAGCCTTCTTCTCGTAGTGAATAGGATCAGCTCGGTCTTTCCAGCATTGATAGAAAGATCGACTTCCCTACACCACGATTCCACAGAGCGCAGAGCGCCCTGCATAATTTCAGAGACTGTTCTACAAAAACGACTCCTAGCTACTATGCTTAAATCATTAGCATCGACTTGCACGTAGACACCCTCACTGCTGAGCCTAACAAGGAGTTTACCACGTTTACCACGAGACACTACAATACGGGTAACAGAACTCCGCTCTCTAGCTAAGCTGACACTGCAGCTTACGTCATTCAACATAGCTGTCGCTCCCTTACCCTCCAGAGTATTGTAACTGCTATGCCATATGTATGTTGTGTTAGCATGATCCACACATAAGGATATTTTACTCCTGTGGCATATCAGTTTGAAACTGTTAGAAAAAATTATACTCCAAAGTGTTTAAATTTTTCAAAGTTGATCTTTTGGAGTTGATCATGGAGAGCAGCGTTGGCTTGCTAGTAGTTTATTTTCGTCTTCTTAACAATGTATATCTGTACTGTAATTTTTTTCACGGACGTTTGTTTCATTCCATTGGTCTATCAGTGTACTAATTTTGACATTATATTTTTAGCAAAACAAGAAGAATCTGCAGTAAAACGTATCAAACTAGAATATGACGAGATGAAACCAACCAACAGGGAGGGGCAAACATTCGACGTTTGGGACATGCTGACATCTAAAGAGGGCACTCGTGTTAAGTGTGACCAACAAAAACTCTTGCACGCTATCAGACAGGGTGTGCCTCGAGGAAAAAGAGGAGAAGTATGGATGTTCTTAGCCGAACAGTTCTGCGCTAGAGTAGCGCCTATGGACACCTCCAAGTTCCCGTATTATAATGTGTCGTATGATACTCTTTTGAAGCAGCTGACGTCTCATCATCATGCACACGCTATACTCATTGATTTGGGAAGGACATTTCCTAACCATTCGTACTTCAGTAGTCCCTTAGGGCCCGGTCAGTTGGCTCTCTTCAATCTGTTGAAGGCTTATTCCCTTTTGGACCCTGAGGTAGGATATTGCCAGGGTCTGAGTTTTGTAGCAGGAGTTCTACTTTTACACGTAAGTGTTCTATGTTTCTGTTGGTTCATAAAAACACAAATATTTGCTCGGAGACCCAGGAGCCATGTTGTGGACTGCTGTAGCCATGTTGTCGAGCCCCCTTTTGGTGAGAGCCTCAGAACCCCGGGCTGTGCTACGAGTTTAGTATCGGTACATTTAATGTCATTTTATTCCACTACGAGTACAAGTTTATTGTGTTCACATACACTGAAAACCAAATACCACCGAAGTCGTAATGTGTACGCGATAAGCCTGCGATATCTATTTTAGAAAGAATGTGGCGATGACTTTCATGACCTCGTACTCGGGTTGCTAGGCAACGAGGTGCATCTATCTGTTTCTAACATACATATCGCACGGTTTTCACGTTTCTCTCTCGTACACATTACGACGACATCCAAATTTGAATCTCACCGTATGTGATTTTTAGATGGAAGAGCATCAAGCATTCTTTTTGTTGCGACACCTGATGTTCAGAAGGGGGATACGACAACAGTATCTTCCAGACATGGCCATTCTGCAGGTGAAACTGTACCAACTGTCCAGATTGCTACATGACCAATTGCCTGATCTGTATAATCACTTTGACTTGTACGAAGTTTCGCCTACATTGTATGCAGCTCCATGGATATTGACTGTCTTTGCGTCGCAGTTTCCATTAGGATTCGTTACTAGAGTTTTTGGTGAGTAAAAGAATGTTTGGAAAAGAACATTGCATCGAATATGTATTTTAAAGTTTTTTTGTGTGGAATGGAGTAATCTCTGAGGCCTCTCTTATTTTCAAGAATGACTTTTTCCTTGTTTTTTTTTTCGCTCGCGGTCCCGAAAATACTATGCCTCCCTAGAAGTATAACTTCTAATAACCGTCACGCCGTTAGCCAAAAATTTTCGTTTGAATATTAAAGGGCAAGTTTTCCCACTTCTTGTCCGTACTACCATACTACCCAGAATATACATTTGATAAGCAAAATATGTCCTGGAAAATACCCCGTTGACTACTCTTTCCAAAATAGCTAAATTTTCTTTTCAATATAACCTATTATTATACATTTTTTTACAGATTTGATATTCTTGGAAGGGTCTGATGTTGTCTTCAGGGTTGCTCTAGCGTTATTAACATATCATAAGGAAAAGCTTATGCATTGTGACAGCTTCGAGGAGATTATGAACTATCTCAAAGAACAGTTACCGAACATTGATAAGACTACTTTGGAGAAGATTATGAAACAGGTAATAACAATGACCGTATCCTTTTTGATTCATTGTTTTGTCTATTTTTCTCTCTCAAGAAATTTTACTCATACAGCCGTTTTATTTCGAAGGTATACATCACGGACATTGCCAAACAGTTGAACGAGTACAAGGTCGAGTACCAAGTCCTACAAGAAGAGATGACTTCAGTACAGCCTCAGATGGAAGCATTGCAGAAACTTGAAGTTCAAAATCGGACGTTGACAGAACAAAATAAATCTCTCTTAAATCAGTTAGAATCATCTTTGACCAATGTACAACGACTCGAGAAGACAAGAGTGTTACAACAGTCGCAGCTGAACAGACTCGAGATGCAAAATAGAGCCTAAATGTCACTATTGCTACTCTAGGCAACTTTATGAACAGTTTGGTGGAACAGAAGTAGATATTGAGATTCCAGATGACGTAAGGAGATATTGTCGCAAATATCTCTGACAGAACGGAGACAGAGCGAGGTTAAGCTACAACAGAATAATCTGATAAAATTTCAGAGGTCTGATAATAATTCAGATAAGATAATGGTCAAGTCATTGAGTACAGGTAAGACATATTTTATGATTTCACTATTAAGAAACATTCAGCTACTTTGGCACCACTGACACACCTAATGATTTTCCGGTGATTTTACTTACGCACCTTTCATGCCAAAATAAAGTATTGGCATTCAATTCCTCTTAAACCCCCTATTTTCTCTATAAATACTAATTCGTATTGAATAGTCCATTTTTATAAACTTTTTTTAGGTAAAATAGACTTACCAGAACGCAAGGAATTCAGAGCGAACAGCTTAAATTCACAAACCATCATGGAACCGACTTTGAAAACTCAACAGGACAAGTCTCCAACCTCATCTACAGAGAGGATATCGAAATTCTTTTCCACTTCTCATAACACGATACTTCAACAGAGGCACAATTCTATTTCAACAACGCAAAAATTGACATTACAGTACACGAGGTTGATAATTTGAAGAACTCCGAAAAATCTAATAGTCTACCATTGCCGGGTAAGTAAAGATGAATCCAAGAGCACTTAGACCATAGACCAATCTCTACATATAAATAAAAATCGCAAAAAAGTTCCATTTA